CAATTATTTTACCAGAAAACTCCTCCACTCCCGCATCAATATTCGACAAACTATTTTTAATTTTTGTTTAATTAATCACAGTTCCGATGAAAGATATGATCATTTATCAATCTCTTTATAAAAGCTGTTTTTTTATTAGCGTTCCCTCCTCGACGTCCCCATCCCCATCCCAGCCCTGAATTCATTGGCGTTGGTGTCAATCCGCTGATTAAATTCAGATAAAAAATACAGCGCACGTCAAGGGAATGCTCGTCAGAAAACAATGATAATGCGATATTGAGTGCGGCGAAAAGAAATCTTGCGGATTAAAATTCAGCAGGAGAGTGATTAATTGGATCGGGTTGTTTGTTATATATTTTTTTTTTCGAACCAACCATTTCGATACACTTTTGATACGGATTAATCAAACTCGGATTATACGTTGATTTTTAGGTAAACGCCGGGATGAAGGATGTTGTTTTGATTGAGATAAATTTCGGAATATTAAATCTTTCATAAATATAGTAACGCGTTTTTGATCGCTATTTTTCGAACTAGCTTAAATCTTCGCAAGATCATTTAATAATCTCAAGTCTAGACAGGAAGTTTTTTTTAACCGTGGTGAGAAGTGATGAGTTTTTGAGTATTAAAGAGTTTTGTATTTTTAATGATTGAATTAATTTTTGACGGGGCTTCACGTCTAGAATAAACTAGGCGAGCGTAATTTGTCACATAATGAGTGGTAATCCCGGTGAACCGCCATTACAGAAGTCCATTCGTTGTTTTGACACCGAATATTCGGCGGCGTTCGCTAATCGAATTCGCAACGAATAATATTTCGCATTTACGGGCGTTAATTTCGAACGTATAAAATCCGACATAAATGGTCAATTAAATATACATTGCGTGTGCAAAAGGCCGTTTATTTGAACAAATACACAACAAACCGCAAAATCAGACAACAGGATGCTGCCCGAGTTGCTATACATAATTGCACTTGGCTACAGGGTTAATGAGGGGATTCGTGATATAGTTTACATAATGCTGTTATCATGTAAATGCAGGACGGTACACTTTCGATTCAATCTTTCGTTTTATTAAACAAATCAATTATTTTGTTTCTAATATTTATGTAAATCACATCAAAATAAGCAATTTTATAGTAAAATAATCTCAAGTTTATTTAGTTATTAGTTATTATAGTAATTTAAATCTATTAGTTTGAAATTCCATTTAAAACTCGAAATAAACAAAAACTTCAAAAGGGCGAGAACTTACTGCAAGTTGAAAAAAACCAACGACCTAGATTCGTGGAATTTCCGATTAAACATTCAATGATAACGAATTGGAACACACCAATTTAGGTCCAATAAAATTATTTCCAATAAATATCTAACCAGACGTAAATTCGTCAAGAGTTCTCGTTAACATTCATTAATGACGTAATGAACGTTGGGATGCCTTTAGCCCTGATTTATTCCCCATAAACATATCACGAAATAGGGCAGGCCCTAGTGGTAGTGGATTTAATGAAAATGAAAATGGGAATGAAGCGCTCTCCGGATAGGCAGAACTGATACAGAAATAAAAAATAACAATCGCTTTGCTCTCGGCGCCCATAATCCGACTATGTATCTTTTTTTGAATCATCAAAGCCGATGAAATGTAACGGAATTGGGGCTATGAATAGTTTTGCGGACAATTTTTTTCCCAAACAAAATAACATTCAATAACCGGAGTTTATTGGTCGGTGTAAAATGGCGATTAATAAAAGGAAAAGAAAAAGGCTATTCGCTCGATGCATTTTTTGAATTTTACTTTTATTTCTATTTAGAATTTAGACCGTTTACATAAACCCTACTATGACCAGCGAGTATTTCATTCTATACCTACGTTTCTTATCTCCGTTATTCATCCGTGCTAAATTCCCGGAGTTGCTCGACTAAATTATCCAATTCTTTTTCTACGTATTATCCTCTATAATAGGTTCTTCCACGCTCGGCATCAGCCGCCTTTTACAATTTTCTGCCACTTATTTTCATTCAATCAGCGAAATTTACCCCACTTTGTGCACGAAAGGATGATCTGCTGCTTGCGCTGCGATATTTTTAATAAGACATTTTTATACGCCTGTTTATCTAGTCTAACGTATTGTGTTTGTTTCACGCATAGGCCACAAAGTAAATTATTTATCGCACTTTGCAGTTTACTAATAAGTATGATATGGTAGAATAAAAAGTTCGGGAAATAACAGAACGGTTATTTCGACAATAAATTTTGGAAAAACACTTTCAGATGTTCCTACCTGCGCTAATTTAAAAGTAAAATCAGCAGGAACGAATTGGAATTCGCATCGTATTTTCGGAAAGTATTTGCAAAAACATAAATATACATATTATACAATCGGCCTGTTAAACGGTTAGCATCCGTAACGTTAAATCGACCTGAATGATACCGAAATGTACGCCATCATCGATGGGGAAAAAATACAGTGGGCCGTTCCACGTGTCGTAAATCTCCTCATATATGGCGTTTTGATATAAACGAGGTTCCGCTTTACTTTTGTTTTGCCCTTCGGGTCGGTACGCGCCCCACCGGCAACAGTCAAGAATGAATAATTTCCCACTTTTGGTCCTACACGGTTCGGCTTTCTATAGCAATTCGGAACAAACTTCTAGCTTTTTGTTCTACAATTAATCGCTGCTCTGCGAATCCGTATGAACTAGCTTGTCTTTTTAGTATAAAAGACAGTCGTTTGTGTATTATTCATATTCTATAAGAAACATAAACTATACACTCAAACATCAAAAATTAACTCGCGTATTCCCAAAGACTGTAAATTTAGTATAGGTATAAGTACTTAATAATTACTGATGGTAATTAGTGAAACTCGGACTACCATAAATTTTTAATTGAAACTTTTTACACGAACATAATTCGACGAACTCTAAACTTCTTAATAAGGTTCTACTTAATGGTATAAATCGAATATATTCGAACGTTGTCTAGCTTGCTGACCGAAACTACTGCACATATTCCAAACAGAGTTGTAAACTAACTTTAATCTCCAATCGTAATCAATAAACACAACAGTTGGGATATAATTAATGAAGTTTGTAGGTATAATTTTATTTAATTTTACATCACTTTCCACCCAATTAATGTCAGTATTTAATACAACTTGTACTTGTAATGCTATATTTATTTACGCCAAAAATTTTATCAAATCAAATTTGCAGGAAATGTTACTTGTTTCGCAGAAACAAGAATTTGTAAAATCATGACATAAGACACATAGAAAAGTAAAATTGCGTTACATCAGCAATATAGCTTGAGGTAAATACCTTACTCGCATCCAATTTACGATATCTTATCTCCTTAAAATACGAATAGGTATATGCAAAATCTAATATAAACTCTAAGATCGCAAAACGTACGTTAGTCGTTGTAATATTTTGCCAGTGAGAGAGCCGCCTATCTGCTCGAATGCAATCCACACGAAACTAACTGTCCAAATTTAAACATTAGCCCGCGCAATATCTGTGAAATAGTGTTTCTGGTGGTGGTTGGCCTGGCCGTTTCGGAAACGACTATACAGATACATCCACATCCATTACACAGCAGATAACAATGGCGAGCTTAATTCACTTCTGTCGCTTACTAAACAGTTTCCTTTGTTCTCTATTATATTTACGTGGAGAATACGATTTATGGTGGCAGAATGTGTTTCCTTATGTTGCACGAAGCCGAAAGGCTACGCGTCCCGCGATACCGGGAAATTTTTCCGGAAATGTACGCTTACATTCCAACTATCCAATCAAACTGTATTTATTCTCCTCTATATCCTATTATAACTCGTATAGGTACTAAATTTTTGCAGTTACTTGTTAATTCGAAGTTATCAAAAGCCACGACTGGGCTTGTCGCTTGTAGTACTAATTGCGTACCAGAAGAGTAATGGAATTATGTATAATTAACTCGAAATCGGATACATGTATTTTAGTATCGATAGAAACTCAGTCGTCTCCCTTGGCTGCCGGACCTTCGTCAAGAAGTTTCGACTTCTATCTCGCATAAGCGAAAGCAACTTCTCAAGATCCCCCGTCAAATTAAAGCTTAATTTCAGCAAACCGACCAATCGGCCGTTTGCATGTCCGTGTTAAATTTGAGAAGCGATGGCTTGGGAATTCGCTTAAATGACGATAATAATTGCTTGGGCGATTGTACGAATGTATATAGATATACAGAGGCAATCGGAAAAATAACAATTTGTAATGGCGAATGTAAGCTCGTTAAAAATTCGTTTTTGGTTGATTTCAGTGGAAACTATAATTCCGGATTTTGTTTTTCGAAGACGTCGAAGAGCGAAAAATCCGCGATTTATTGCGCACCCTTAAATCGGATTACTTCCCAACTTCCAATATCTTATTGCTCCGGTAATAAATTTCAATGAGTTTTTATTTTTTTGTTGAAAGAAACGCTATATCATATTTCATTTTTCATCGTCCGCGGAAAAAAGTGCAATTCTTATTACGGTGGAACTCTGATTTTCTTTTGTAATTTTATGATTTCTTGCGCCGAAGATGTACTAAAAAGGCAATACAATGGGAGACAAAATGCCCGTAGCGCGCCTTCGAATGCCAGCCATTGTGTAAACACATTTAAGCAATGTGTTGATGGTATCAAAAAGGAATGCGGCTCCGGGCGACAGAAAAAGAAGAGATACCGTAAATCTAAAAATATAATTTTACAGAATGAAATATATAAATGTGGAAAGAGTCTAATGTTAACGAAATCAACGTAAGTACTCTTGCACAGGTGAATTGATGTTACAAAATGCTGACAAACGAGTGTCTACTTAAGATACATTTTGTTAGAAAGTTGGTAGAATGTATTCCTGATGTATTCTTTCCTTTTTTTCATCATTTTCTTTATTTATTATCTAAACACACTCATAATATTTTATCATTTGGTTTGGACATGTATGTGAAGTGTAAAAATGTATCATAAAAAAAACTTACCTCTATGCCTATTTGTCTGTTTATCGAACATTAGCATTGCATCTTCAATCTGAAACAAAATAATATATTCAATAAAAATGATCAAACTTATTTAGGCGGTCATTAAATCAACAAATACCTACACATAAAGTTTTTTACATTTACCATTAAAATATCATCAAAATTTTAAACACCCGTTAAATGCATATTTCAATGCGAAATTCAAATGCTATAAATACAAAGCAATGATTAATGTGCATGAAGTGATTTCTGAAAATCTATTTTACATATTATTAATTTGACACCTAGACAATAAATCTGTGTCAACTGCTCAGTCGCTGTAACATTTCATGTGCATTCCGCCATGTTAAATTTACAGTAGCAGTGAAAATATTTTATATCCTAATACCATATATGGTCGTGATTACCAACGGACCATGTGATTGATTTTTTCATTAAATGTTGCGAATCGAGCCGTCCAAAATTATCCACCTATGAAATTAATGTGTTCGTATTTTGGCGTTTGCCAACTAAATGCATTATTTATGCATCGCTTACGGAATTATTCCTGGTGGTATTCGAGCCAGATTCAGCGAATTTATTTATTTATTTCGCAAGATTTGAGCAGTTCAATTCGAAAACGTTTTGATCGAATTGAATAAATTGCCAAATACATAAATCTTAAATTTGTTTTGTAGAAAAATTTTCGTTATAAACGATATTCTTTTGATGTTGTTGAATAAGGAATGAAAAGTAGCTGCCTGTTGAACAAAATTTAATTTAGCAATTTATGAAATGCTCATTAAATTACTTATGGCAATCTCAGTTATTTCACGAATAAAACTATTTAAATTACTTTCTAGTGCAAAGTGTAACATAAATAAAAACCAACTGAGAAAATAAACTACTAAGAAAACACTTGATCAGTAGATGAAATGTTGATTTAATCGCAATAATTTAACAAACTTTTTAAATTAACCGTCTTGTTGACGAATGCACAAGTTATCTCTTCAGAATATTATCTGAGCATTCTCATTTTAATTTTTAATTCCATTATAAGAAATTCGTATGCTCTATATACTCGATCCGCGATCCGCGATAAATTCGGAATATCCATAAGCCTGCGATCAGAACGATATTAATTATTGACAATAAAAAATTGCGAATGCGTCAGTACCAGAATAATTTATTGAAATCGCTAAATGGCATAATTCGAGTTAATTAAGCCAACAAAATCGATTATCGGATCTTTTTATTCCGAATATACTGGCTTCGGATGGTCGGTTTATTGAATCATTAAATAATGGATTGTTTTATATGAACGTTTTGTTTGGCGTCACGTGCACGTTATTAGGAAAAAATTCGCCTAATTTGCGAAATTGTTTGCAACCGCAATTGCTATGTGAACACGGCGCCTAATGTACACAACAATACAATTGCCACTGCAATCTCCATAAAATAGATATTGCTAATTTCTTGTATATGCAAACAGAGCAGTACCTAATTGTATTGTTAAATCTAAAGGGGAATTAGTAATTATTTTTAATAAAAAATCAGAAGTAATAACTATACTAATGAGGGCGTTTTATTTCATTACAAAACGACGTACTTAAGTTCTGGTTTTTGCAAATTTAATTAAAAACATAGTATTACAAAATCTCCAGAGATGTTTTTGTAATTCAAATAGGGTTATAGCTAATAAATATATTGTTTAATTTCATGTATGCATAGAATAGCAATAAAAGCGTACGTAATTTTTACTATGGAAAAATTTTATAACTTACAACTAACATGTAAAATATTATATGTATTATGTTTCGGAAGATCCATTTCAGTTTAGTATCTGTTTTATGACTGACTGCTGATATATATTCTGTTAACTACCGTCAAACTATTTCAGGAAAATCTTATTTTTCAAGTAACTTTATCGTAAAATCAAATAATGCAGCAATAACAACCATTCATTCGCCACATAAAATTATTTAAATATTGATTTATAAGCGGATCATATTTATGTAGGGAAAAGAGAATATATTTCGCCGTGTGATAAAACGGCAATAAATGTCATTATAAATTCAAAATAAATTATCCGCAATTTTTCGAATTTACTGCCTTTAATATTCGCATCCAATTGGCCGTATACGCAAAAATTACAATTCGATGCAAATTTTCTACTTAGTGCTCGATAAAAGAGCCTCTCACATTCAAATTGCCGTTTCGAATGAGATGGTCCATTTGTGAAGCTTTATAGCCATTTTAGTTGTAATTTGAACATCGTACTACTTACGCTTACTTTTTTTTTGTTAAATGTATTATACCTATACGTTTATGCATGTATGTATATTTTATTATACCGTACTAAAACAAATAGTATTTATTCCGTACATATTCAATGACATTTGTATGACAAAAATTAAAACGTCTGTATGCTATGCATGTTTTATAAAATTCGTATTGAAAAAAAATATTGAACAACCAATTTTACAACAATACTGAAATACCGATATTCAGTAGGTATATAATTAAAAGTTTTTCCAAACAGAATACTACACACAGTAAGTTAAATTGTTTTAAATTATCTTTTAAAATAAAAAAAATAAATTGTATCAATCATCGAAACTACGCATTTACCCCATGCCAATTAAAAAACCCTTATTTCCAACAAAAGCTTTTTGAATTCCGCACACACTCCTTAATATTCCGGGATATATTATTAAAGCTGGGTATTTTTTATTCAATGAAATTTCCAACGTAACGCGTTTGCGTCGTTAAGAGTGTATAGAAGTGTGCAAAGTCAAAGCAGTTCAAAGCGGTATCGCTTTAAAGGAATAATATTTTCTGTGCTCGCTCAGCTCGAACCGAGCTGAAGGGAAAAAGTTTCATTTTGCCTGGCTGACTTGATAAAATATTTTAATCAACGTCTTTATATTTTCAAGTTTTATCGTCTCGATAACGCCGGCTGGGCTCAATTCGGTTATCATCTTAGACGATATTTAGTGAAACTTCAGGAGTTGGGTCGCCTATGGGGAGCGCCGGTTAAGTTTTCAAGGGGGATTTGGGATGGGGGGAAGACTTTTATTAACACATAATAGCATTCTGAATGATGTAAACGTACCAGAAATATTTATTTTGATGTATCTGTGGCTAAATAAAGATTTGGTAATTACAAATTTTTACTCTGTAGATTGTTGAGAGCAATGTCCCGCAATCATTTCAGAAAGAGAATTTGTATAATGTGTAAGCAGTGTATAGTAAACTTGTTGGAAATTACCATAATATCACTTAGAATACCATGAATTCCACTAGAACATATGTAGCATAGTTCTGGGCTTAATCAATTTAACAATCCTTGAATATGTAGGTTGTGACGAGAGTTTCTAGTTCGGATAGCGTAATTTTGAATGGCACATTTTAATCGTCGTTTTTTCCCCAAAGATTTTTGTAGAAAAACGCATGTAATTCTCTTACGTATAGCCGGAATGTAAATACAAAAAGGGAAACCGATAAAAATTAGAATAATTGCTGGCATAATATATTCAAATTAATTCAACGTAATAAGTCGACGACGCCGCGCGTTTTTCCGGAATTATAAATAGAGAAGCATCTGGCCGCTATCTGCGAGAAAAACAAAGGGGTTCGGTTTTCCCGTTGTATATCGACGCTCTCGTCGGAGAACGCCGGAGCCTCTCCCGGGAATACACCAAACAAGTTACAAACTCCTGATTATCCTTAAAAAGGCTTATCTGGGGAAATCATTTGATAGATCGGATTTTTAACGTTCGTCAACTCGGATCCAATTTTCATGTTAAAAACTTCATTTATATTAACGGCCATTTCGCATTTTATTACCGATGGATCATTGCGATTTGAAGACAACGTAATGGGCCGTTGTCAATCAAACGATCCTAGAAAAATCATCAGATTTGATTGAGGAATTAATTTGGAGTAAAAGAGATTATAATATAACTTATATCCTCTTATAACACACTCTACAAGAGAAAAATTATAGATTAACAAACTGATGCATTGTTTTAATTAATGCAACAAAAACAGACAAATAAAAGCATTTATAGTTACTATTTGTTGACATGAAAATTCTAGTCTTTTCCATTACGCTCGTAATCCTCTTTTCAGTAATGATGTTCCCGTAATAAAGCAAAACTAACAATCATGACTCGACCATATTTCATATCGTGCCGTGCGATGTTTTTAAGAAAGATTCGTGCATCTCTTGTTTTATGTTAAAGCGATTACCTCATATAGACTGTAATATATCACTGCTCGGTGGCTTTCTCAACGTTTTGTACTCAATTTAATAGAGTCCCCGTTTTTATGTTCCTATCTTTCCTAAACGCAAACACACAAGTATCTTATATTTTATATTGATTTGTAGTCGTTTGAGGTGAGGTTTGCCGTAATAAATCGTATGCCTGTTTTATGTTCTACATTTATTTCATACGGTATTTATTGAATTTTTATGTCCCTTTTATGTTGCCCTGCATTTAATTAAATCATTACTCCTACGCGCCTCATATTTACTTTTGCAAACGCTTAATTTCATAAAAACCCTCAATTTGGCGGTAATTTAAATTGTTAAAAACAACAAATGAGTAATACATTATTAAACACTTGAATTAACGTGAAAATTTATTTCTGTTGTAGGTAATTAATAATATTGGAGTGCTTCGTAAATAAATAAATACATAAATGAATCCAAATAATATCAACCCACTTTTATGTTGTGTTGTCGATCGAATGTTACTTTGCCTAATAAATAATTATTTAAAATCAATTAACATAAAAGCAAATGTTTAAAATGTATATCATTTTCTACAACCCACGCAACACGTCCGAACAAACTCATTAATATTTAACAATATTTTTTAGACGAATTTAGGACTAAAACGATTTTCAATTTAAACTAATGGATATGAAAATATTCCAATTTTCGCCGCTGTCAATATTTAAATCATTTACTAATACGCGTATTAAATTCTGTCAACTCTCTTATTTCTTTCTCCTCTAATACGAATTTTATACCTACATACAAAAAATAGTATAGCAAAAGGG